AGTCTCAGCATAAAATCACATTGGTTCCTGTCTGATACAAGCTGAAAAGGACAGTGGAGATTTAGGCTGAGAAGGGCAAAAAGCAATGCAAGAGGAACAGTCCCACCCTCGCACTATTGTGACAGCAGCTTCCTGTTCCATTCACGGCAATCTGTGCTCCGGGTCACGGGGGCTTTTTTATTCACTGCAGCTAATGCAGCTTATGCAGAACGTCTGGGGACAGAGGGAGCCATTTCCTTTTGTATTAGGAAAGGATCCATAGGTCTCCCTTCTTCTGGCTGCTGAATTTTAATGAATGCAAGAACCTAATGTAAGTTCATCTTGTATTTTGTCACAGGAAAATATAATTTAGATTTTTGTTTTAACTCCAAGTTTCTGGACAAATATCTGATATGAAGAGTGGAGAATAATTAGTTTTAGAGGACTGAGGATTTACATGCGACTGCAGTTTAAGTATGGGATCTGATTCGTTTCCTGTTATTTCTAACACATTCCTACGAGGAAATCCCATTTTTTTTCTCTAGCGTTTCCCAGAGAAGCAAGCACCAAGAATGAAGGAGAGAGCATAAAACATTCACTGCAATATTCAGCAGTGCCAAACTTCTGCCCAGCTGCCAAGGAGGCACCACTCTGCACGGGCAAGAGTGCAGGCAACACCTAGCACTGCCAGAATCACGGAATCACAGGAGGGTTGAGGTTGGAAGGGACCTCTAGAGATCACCCAGTSCAAMCCCCTGCTCCAGCAGGGACACCCAGAGCACGGGGCACAGGGTGGSAGCCAGGYGGGTTKGGAAGATCTCCAGAGAAGGAGMCTCCACAGCCTCCCTGGGCAGCCTSTKCCAGGGCTCTGGCACCCTCACAGTCAGGAAGTTCTTCCTCACATGCAGATGGAACTGCCTGGGTTGCAGCTTGCACCCACTGCCCCTTGTCCTGTCACTGGCCACCAACGAGAAGGGTTTGGCCCCATCTTCTTTACACTCTCCCCTTCATGTACTTGTACGTATTGGCCAGATCCCCTCTCAATCTGCTCTTCTCCAGGCAGCGAAGAAGAACATGGGGGGATGCTGGAAACTTCTCAGAGAGATACAGGGGGAAGAGGTAAACATGACTAAAAAGAGAAGGGGTGGTGCGGGGGAAGAAAGAAAAAAGAAGTGCAGGAGAAGGTGCTGAAGCCGGCGCGTGACATCGCTGCAAGGAGAAAGGGGCCAGTGTTTATCCTCCAATGAGGTTGGCACAGAAACCCGCACGGGACTGTTGGCCTCGATTAGTGAATCCTCCTCAGCTGCTGCTAAATAAAATCTTCCTCCCACAGTCAGCACTGCCCTCATTTGAGGGCTTCTGTATCCCCCTCCTCTTGGAATCCCAAAACATCCCCTCCCGAACTGTAACCCCAAAACATCCCATCCTGAACTGCTGCGTAGCTCTGATASGTCCATGGCCTCCCTGGACATATTTCCCCACAGATTCACCTGTGCAATCTTCAAACAGCTCTTTTTAAGCTATTTTTCATGAACATGAACAGCAGGGTCTGGAACTGGGACCTACAGAAGACAACAGAGATGCCCATCCCAGAGGCTTCCGTGAATAACTGGGCGCATACAACCTTCCATGAAAAGGAAGGATTAGGATACTGGTATCATATGCATGAATCTAAAAGAGAAACACAAGAACAACTTGCTCCCCAAACTTCACTTGGCAGAGCAGAATGGGCCTTTATACAGAAAGAAAGCATGCAAGCACTTGTCCAAATGAAAATAAACACTGTATTCCTCATGCCAAAAGTGTCCCCCAATCGGCTGGTAGATCCCAGAGCAGGACAGAGCCTGTGCCAAGGTGGGCTGAATGAAAAGTTGACAGCGAGTCGCCCCATCTGTCACGGGCACCCGGCGCTAACTACGGCTGCAACTCTGTGTTGTGTCCCCCAAGGGCAATCCTGGCATCTCGCAGCTCAGCGGCCAAGTCCCTGTTACGTTTCCTTGAGGCCGGACTTGCAACGTAACAAGCCACAAAGGGGCTGGAAATAAACCTTAGGAAAGAGCACAAGCGTTTAGAAAGACTCGGGTTGCTCCATAATCACAGTTTATGCTTTAAAATCTGTTTTCAGGAGTAACACTGCAGACTACCATGACTGAAAGACACAAGAATTTTGTATTTGCTTTGTGAATTACACTGCGTTTTTCACGCTTCAGTTTACCAACAACCCTAGTAAACATTTCCTTTGTCTGAGTGGGTCTTCCAGAGGGCAAGAAAGGACTAAAGTGATGGGGTGTTATGAAACCTTTTTAATTATATCAGTATGATCCAAATCCCTTCTCCCCCGCGCCCTCCTCGCCCAGCACACGCACCCCGCGGTCACTTAGGCACGATGGGGAGACCCAAACCCTGCCTTTACACCACTTAACACGCAGCATCTCTTGTAGTGTATGAAATGACAGCTGTTAAAAATCTAACCGTGTTGCAAGGACATTACTTTTATTAGCTCCACTCATCTACCATAATATTCTTTTCCCTCAACCCTAAAATTTCTACTCCTCTCCTATCAAGGGTAGGAGGAAGAAAAATGTCCATCCTCGGGGGCTGTCTACCAGAGCAGATTATCCCACACAGCTTGGATCGCTTTCCAGTGTAATATCTAGAACATCAAACAGCATTAGTCCAAATAAAATGTGGAAAAGGAGCTCACCTAAGATCAAACCGAGTAATTTGTACTTGTTTTTCCTGCCTTCCCAGAACACCTACGATCTGAGCATCTTTTGGCAAACGCCTCCGACTTCAGACACTTGCAGCTCATCATTAGGCAGCAGGTTAGGGCTCCTTGCAGGAGAGGGGCTGCAGGAATGAGAGGCTCTGCAGGCCTGCGGAGRGGAGGGCCGGGACCAACCATGAGGACTCAGGGCTGATACCTTAAACTGAGTGTTTGGCACCCGAGGCAGGAGCTTGGAAAGCTCCTCTGGGGGAAAAACCTGCCCCTTGGCCCCCAGCTCAGGGAGAAGAGCGGCTGCAGCCCATGCAACAGAGCCCACTTACCCACCTCATGCCAACGCTCTGCACACACAGATGAAACCTCCAAGGGACCAGAGCTGGTGTCACCTCCCTGCAACAGGATCCATCAGCTGGACTAGAGAGCACTCCCTGCAAGAGCCCTGTAAGGGCTTCAGTTCACAGGCAGAGACAGGCTGCCTTGGGATGGATGAGGCATTTCCTACACATCCCGCTCTAAAATGCTCCTGTGACCATTGAGGATCCAGTCTGGATCCAGATGCAATTCCAGATGAGGAATCGCAGCCCCTGTAGCCACAAGGCTCCGGTTGTGGAGCCCCGTGTAGACTGCGGCCAGGTCCAGCCGAACGTGCAACGCACCCAGGGGTGAAGCAGCAACTCCAGGCAGCCGGTCCCAGGCAGGAGGAAATAAAGCCGAGGATAGAACAGTCTGGAACAGAACAGATCTGCACGGCTGGACTTAACAGGGTAGCAAAACCGTCTCCACGCAAGAGCCAAACACGGATGTTCTGCCTGTTCTCCACAAGGAGCCCCACCACGGCAGCAAAGTCCGCGGCCGAGCAGTCGAGGTAACTGAGCGTGCACAAGAAGAGGGCAGGACCGTGCCCTGAGCACCAGGGCTCTTTGCCAGGCACTCGGGTATCCCTGTTTTATGCATGGAGCAGAGCACAGCCCAGGAACGCGTAGGCCCAGCACCTTCCAAAATCTCAATCCAACAAGGGAAGGATCTGTCCGTGTAACCTACCCAATGCACAATCCTCATCCAGGACACTTAAGATCACACTGGAAATCTCCAGGTTCCTCCAGGTAAATAAGGACATTCAGTACATGCACCTCCTTCACTGGAGCAGGAGGTGTTCAGGGCTACTGAAGCACCTTTAGCTAGATCTGCAACCTACTCCGGCTCCAACTGCCTTACACAGAGTAAATTGTTCTGTGGAACAGAAACAGCACTAATCAACAAACTATTCAGCTCCTAATAAATGTAAATGGTTGGTAATAACGTGTGATATAAGATTGTTATACAGATTTGGAATATAGTCTAGGAGACTCAGGCTCCTGTCATGAAGAGGCTGTCATGAATAAATAGAGGCTCGTTTTGAAATCAAGGAGGTTCTCCTGAGGGCACTTTGGCATTAAATCTCTCCATCTTACACCAGGGACTATAAACCATGATGTGTCAGCTTCACAAATAACTGTTATTCAATCCCTTCAGAAAGATTTGTCCCCTCAACAATCAAAACCTGAAACAGTATCTTATGTCTCAAATATAAAACTGTAAACCATTCCTAGACAACATCAAAACCAGCACTGAAAGCACATGCAAAAGTGCAGCTTCACACAAAACAGCCACAATCTCCACCGACTGTGTGCTCTTTGAACAGAGAACACACTCCTCACCAATTCCAGCATGACAAAAGCCAGTAAGTGTGTGTGCCAATATCCKCACCTGGGGCAGGACGGGCACCTCTCAGTTAAGACCCGTGGGGAGGAGAAAACAAAAGCACACACCTAAACACACACACCTAAGCACCACTGTCTGCTGCACGTTCACCCACTCCCAGCCGCTTGTGGCAAACAGCTCGGGAGCTTCTCCAAAGACCACGTTCCGCCTCTGGGACTTCCTCTGGCTGCTGCTGACAGTGAACGGAGCTCGGATGCACTGGACATAAAACTCAGCCCAGTTCTCACAGCTAAGTCTCGTCCYTGTAGTGAAAGGAAACAGGCTGCTTTGCTGAGCCTCATAGAGCAAGCRCAGAAAGGACAGAACCCCACAGGTCACCACAACAGTCTCCAAGGGACATTAACCCCATACTCAGCAGGGCTCTCACCAGCGAGCCCATCTGCTCCATCGGTTACACAGCAGCACAAACACCAGCAAGAGGGACAACCAGCACCCCAAGAGCCTTCCTCAGTGCTCAACCGTGCTATGAACACAGCAAGAAACACCCACAACGTGCTGTGAACACAGCAAGAAGCACCCACAACAGCACACGTACCTGATCACAACCCGCATTCACCAGTTCCTGCAGCATCTGCCTGTTCACCTCAACCGCTGCTGTGCTGCCCGACTCATTGGCAAAAGGCAGCAGCGAGTATCTGATTTCTCGGAGGGCTTTCTGGTAAGGTCCAAACTTGGGGGTCTGTCTCATCTGCTGCTGCCTTGCAGCATCCTTCCCTACTAAAATCTTGGTGTCCAGAGAAGTTTCACTGCCTGGTCCAACCGGTAGCCCCTGACTTGAAGATTTGGATGGTTGTTTTAAACCCTCTCGAATCTCCTGTAACCTCTGTCTGCTGTTTCCAGAATATGTCGTAGCAGGGAAAGTCTTTGGCCTCATTGTTAATCCAGTTTTCTTTGCGCATAAATACAGCCCGTATTCTTGTTAATTACTGTACTTCTAATAAGTGTTTGTCTTTYGATGTCAGCAATTTCTTGTAAACATAATCCTTTGAGGAAGAAAAAAAAAAAATAAAGGCAAAATAAAGGCAAAAACCTCCAGTGATTTCTGCCAGCGTTTTACTTCAGGTCATAATCTTCATTTTTCCTACAGAAAACCTTCGGAATCATCATTTTGCAGAGCGACAGTGCCTGAAACRAAAGGAAAARGAAAACACGCACAATTAAACTGATATTGTGAAAGGGCACTGTGACAATTAGCCAAGGGAAAGTGAATCAATGCAGCCTATTAGGCTGTCACAGCTTGACTCCCCTCAGCTATTCGCACTTTATCTGCTCCCAAGAACAGGATTCTGGGGGGCTTTTTCAACATGATCAAGTAGAAATAAAATCTTTTAAGTTTCATTTTCAAAAGAAAGCTAAAAAGAAAGAAATTCTCAACAACTCCAAACTTCAAGAGTTTTACAGTACCTAATAGTGGCACATTTCCCACCCGGTTGCATAACCGAGCCCTGGACAAGCCTATCCTATTTCATAATTAGGGAAGAGTTTGCTCCTAGGAGAAACATTCCTGCCCCCACTTCAGGCCCTGTTTGTTTTACATGCGCTGAGCTCCGCTGCAGAAGTTTAGGAAGAAGATTTATAACGGAAATATTGATGACTCTAACCATAGCAACYTGGAGCACTTCAATAACAAAGTGAAGAAACCAGGACATTTTCCCATTCCACGAGATTATCTTAAAAATCTAAGGTAAGAACTCTCCCCGTGACTGGAAGATTATTTTTTATATATATTTTTAAGTGGTATTTCATTAGCTGTGCCTTATTGGCAAGAAGGAGGGTGAGGAATTTCCTCAGCGACAGCAGGAACATCAGAACCAGTGGGTTCCCAGTTAAGACAAAAGAYGCTGCAGGAAAACAAAACAGACACAAAACACAGAGAGATTTCTAGGTATTTCTGTATTTCCTCTAACCCTYGGCAGAGAAGAGCTACACAGAGAAACCGTATTTACTTACAATGAAAACCCATCTTARGTGGCTCTCTGTGGCAACGTCATGATATAAATATTAAATAACAATTAACAAAATTAAATATCAGTACATTTAAAAAGTTTTACGCTTATCAGACGCATCCCAAGCTACAGACGCCGCTTCCTCAAGTTTCCTGCTGCTGCTGCTGATCCCCACGCTTGCGCATCGCCCCCCACGCAGCTCAAGGCTGCTTTGTTGTTAGGTTTTCACACGCATGTCATAGAATAAACCTCAGCTCATTGTTAAAAGCCCAAGGAAGCCCCAAATCRACCATTTCCATACGTTTATCACCCTTTTCCCAGCCAGGTTTGCTGCTGTGAAGGCCAGGAGCGCCCGGACACACTCGACTCCGTCACCACCTCCTCCTCGGGGCAGCACCCTGAGTGCCACAAGGATTAAAGCACTTTATCCATATTTCCATATTTCCATATTTCCATAAGCAATAATAAACCATCTGCTGGTCAAGAGCAGCTCACGACTCTCCGTGAAGTTAAGGGGAACTGCAGTATCCCGTGGGGAAGGATGTGTCACCCATCTAGATGCCATATATCCCATCCACCTAGATGGCAGGTAATACACACCTTGAATAAAGCCATTTAAAACATGTATTATTAATGGATAGCACTGCAGCCGTCCCAGGAATACAGCTTAACCAGCTGGTACTTAATGATACAGAGCKGCAGGGCCATCAACTGCTCTGTAACAGTCTCTCCTGCCCTGACAGCAACAAGGCTGGGTTTAGAGGTCCAGCTCCCAGAGATCCAGCTTTTCCTGCTCTGCTCCACGTGCGGGAGAAGCCTGCGAGCTCCCGCTTTCTTTTTGCAGCAAATAACTGTTTCCCCCTTACACACACGTTTCACATAAGGAACCCGGTGCCCCTCAGCCCAAGCTCCAGCCTCGCAGCCAAGTGCGGCGTTTCCAGCGTTTCCAGCGTTTCCAGCTTTCCTTCCGCTCGGGCACTGCTGTAAATGCTACGGGGAGCACTTGGGGAGCAGGAACGAGGACGGAACAGCAGCAGGTACCACCGCTAACCGTGCATCTCATGGGTCGCAGAAGGGCTTTTTAACTAAATGTGTAAGACAGGCCAAGAAATCAGAACATTTAAGTAACGCAGATAATTAACACGGGCAGACCAGCTGTCTGCTTAAAAAAAAAAAAAAAAAAAAAAAAAAACTCTTCCTGTAATTTGTATTTTTAGAAAAAAAGGAGCGAGCTCTGTGTTCCCCGGAGGAGCGGCAGCGCAGGGCACCTCGGAGCGCTCCCGGCCGCCGCTCCGGGCTGGGACAACCCGCATCCCGGCGCTCCCCGCACCGGGGCCCGGCGCCGCTCCCGCCGCCGGGGGGGTTCGCGGGACCGTTTCCCGCTCCGGCCCGGGGGGTTTCGCCCCCTCCCCCCGGCCGCGGGGCCGCCTCCCGCTCCCCCTTCCCGCCGGGAAGCGCGGCCGGAGCCGCCCGCCAGGCGCTGCCCCCGCCGCCCCCCGCGCTTGGGTTTTGGGGGGGATTTTCTTCATTTTGGTGACAAACTCGCGGGCAGTTTCGGGAAGGGGCCGGGGCGCGCGCAGCTGGCGGCGGGACGCGGCTCCCCCGCCGCGCTCCCGCTCCCACTTTGCTCCTTCCCCGTGCTTTT